CATCTCATTGGTTAAAACATTAAAATTTGACATAATTTCAAAAGTGAGCGCATTTTTTAATATTTTATTTAATATCTGATTCCGACTTCACAAAAAAAGCCTTTCCTTAGCTTTAATATTAATAGCAATTCTATGTTGGGAACACTAGCAAATTAGAATTATTTTTTGGCTATTGTTTTGAGTGCTTATGATTGGACAAGAAACTTTGTTTCAAAACAGAGTTCATTCACATTGTATTTTAAAACTTAATGTGTTACACATAGCATGTTAACCAAGACATTCGAATGTGGGGAAGTTGGAATTGCCCCAGAACAATAGAAAGTTGCCTGCTTGTTGCGCGCATTGTTACTTAATTTGAAAGAAAGCAAATCGGAGAATATCTACAGTGTACACAATTGCTGTTGTCTTTCAATACGAAGTTTTGTAACTAAATTTTTAGTTATGTCCTGAGTTACAGGAGTAGTTCGTCAAAATCAGAATGTGAAAACAACAAAGAAACAGTCTATGAATAATGTATCATATAAASACCAAATTCTTTACTCTCAACATCACCCTATCGTAACCCTAAACCTAGATATAAAGAAATGACTAGAACATTATTGCCTTTAGATATATTCTTGTTATTGTTCGGAATGTTGCTTTGATTACCAACAAGAACATTTTATCTGTAATTTTAATTATATCATGTTTAAAAAAGGAAAAAATAAAGGACGTTTCAGTGTATAGCTATTGTAGCTCACGGCACTACATCATCATCATCATTTTTATTATTCATTTCGACCACACAAGATAATTCAAGTTGAAATATAACTTTTTAAATTGATCAAAATAAAGGTACTCTTGGATGGTAGGCAACTCAAAAGGAAACCAAAGGCTTATATTTTTGAGCTACCTATTTGATTACAAGAGAGAATATCAAAGTATAATACAATAATTGGTGAAACAGCACAAAGGCAAGATGTTTACAAAAGCTGGACAAGATAAGATGTAGATTAATTAAGAATGTGAACAATATATATGTTATATGTTTGATAGATTACATTTATATGAAATGAAATTATGAATACAAATTAAAATTACTTATATGACAATATTATTTGCTATTGTTTCTTGCAAAACAAATAAAAACAAAACAAAAAACAAAAAAACACACAAACCCTACTSTTATCAGGAGGGGTGGGAGGGGTGATTTTCTTACTAGAATAAAGACACAGCACCGGTTAGAAATTAGGCCGTATAGTGACTGAATGAACGTAATCTGCTGGCAATTGCAATGCAAATGTCGGTTTCTAATGAAACACCACAAGAGATTTATTAGTGATCAATTATAAAATAACTTGGATACTACGCGCGTTCTGATTGGCCGACCGCCGTGTTTGCATCAGAGTATGTAAACATGGTTTTGACGTCACCATTTTTTGTCAAGTGCGATTCAAAACTAGAAGTAGAATAGGAAAAAAATCAGCTATTTATACAAAAATGTATCCGAAAACTTGGCAACAACTAGTTATGAGTATTCTGCATGAAGTTTTACTATATCTTGTAGTTTTTGAGTNTCCTTGATTATAATTGGTAGTTGTATTTGCCCATCTTTCTTCAACGATATTCAGTAAAAATTAATCAATCAATCATTTGGTCCGGTAATTGACAATTCAGCCAATCAATCAATCAGTCTAGATACCTGTGTTATGGTAGAGTTCAGAATATGTCGTTTCAAAATCTGTTCCTCGACGTCACCATCGCTCTCACTCTTGTCTTCCCGACCCCAAAACAAATCTTTCTCTTTCAAAATTTCTTTGCATTCAACGCAGAGATCAAAACTATTAGGATCAACTTTTATTGCCTTCTTGTTTGCTGTCGAGTTACGGGTGATCTTGGATCTCTCGATGTTGTTGTGTRGCGTACAGCGAGCATTAGAGTCCTTTGGAGAGAGAAATCATTAAGATACGTTTGTCAAACAGTGATGGTGATTATTGTAACGATGATTTCTGATGAAGTTGAAAATGATCGTGACGAACAATCATCATTGAGTGAATAGCTTGAACCAATACTCAAGACAATAACGTACAGCGAGCACCAGAAACCTTTGGAGATAGCAATCATTAAAACGAGTTTGTCAAAGAGTGATGGTGATTATCATAACGATGATTTCTAAAAAATGATAGTGGTGAATAATTATCATTGAGTGAGGCAATAGCGATGTAAGTAAGATCTTTCAGGTAGCTGAGAGCCATGTAACAGAAAGCTCGGCAATAGAACTAACGTGATGTTTCATTCTTCAGAAGACCTCAATCAATTATAAACTGATGTACGAAGATTGACAAAGACCGTACATTGTGGCTGTAATCTCGAGATAATCGAGATCCCAATGCTGTTGTAAGATATATAGCTTCGTACAATCGATCATCAGTAATGATCACATCTCACAATCTTTTTCTTAAGAAAATCTTGCTGGGAGAGGAAAAGGCGGATTTTAGAAAAAAAAAAAAGAAAAAAATGAAATAACATCCGATTTAACACTAGAACCTTATACCAAATGTCTTAAGTTTGAATGATTAAGCTACTGTACCTTTCTAGGAACAAGTCGTGTTCTCCTTGTCTGCAGCCTGGTTTGTTTATCGCGCAAAACGTTTTTGATTTCTTTAATCGTGTCGTTATTGGTCTGGTTTCGATCTGGTACATCTTCTGTTGTATCCCTGGATGGTACAGAGTTCCTCAAGATGGTTCTGGACGGTAAAAATCCAGCTCTTTTGGTGTCTTTCTCAACAGGTAGAAATGCCTCTACTTCAGATAGAAGCTCACGTCGTCTTTTCGTTATTCTTTCAAAACACTTGTTATGGCTACATTACAATAAATGGTTAGCATTTTTAAATTAATTCTAAAATATTGAATACTTACTAAAACTTTGTGATCAGAAAGATGTCGAGTTACAAAGAAAAAAGTCATCAAAATATCTCTCGTTTTCTTAAATATTAATTTGTCGATTTATTCGATTTTCATTTTACCTTCATCAGATAACTCCACATCGTCGTYTGTCATCTGCTTTGGTTTTCGTTCTTCTTTCTTACCACACTCTTTTCCATTGTCAAAGTTTTCCAGTTCTCTCTTAATCAGTTCAACATCGTGCACTAGACGGTTAATCGCAATCATTCCAAGATGGCTGCCAAAATTATCGACGGTCTCCACAATTCCCTGCTGTGATAATGTAATGTTCTCTTCTCCATCACATAGAAGGATCTTAACGTCACGTAAAGCAGCGAGAAGCAAAAGTTTTTCTTGTTCGCTGGCGTTGTTTTCCAGTGCCCTGTACAATGATAAAGCAGTTTCTAGTTTGATGTAAGCTTGTGCTGTAGTGTCACATACTCTGTCTTCCCGTTCCATTCTCAAAAANTCCAAGATGGCTGCCAAAATTATCGACGGTCTCCACAATTCCCTGCTGTGATAATGTAATGTTCTCTTCTCCATCACATAGAAGGATCTTAACGTCACGTAAAGCAGCGAGAAGCAAAAGTTTTTCTTGTTCGCTGGCGTTGTTTTCCAGTGCTCTGTACAATGATAAAGCAGTTTCTAGTTTGATGCAAGCTTGTGCTGTAGTGTCGCATACTCTGTCTTCCCGTTCCATTCTAAAAAATATGAATTGCAAGACTTTTTAGTTTTTTTTTTTCATGTAAATGAAGTTTTCTGATTGATGACGGTACAATGAGCTCTTTCGACTGCGCACGCGCGTGCAATTTTTGGCACAGGCAGCCCAAGCTTGTTATCATATCACCGATATGACACTCTCACATTTCCCATGTGATTTTATTTTATATTTCAATTAAAACTGACTAAACAATGGCGGGCAACACCGCTGACCGTATAAAACCACAGACACGGCACAGGAATCCCGACCTTAGAAGCGTAACAAGCACACCATCTCCGCCCTTCAGATAATCACAGACATCGCTTCATCTGAAATTGCAGTGAATTCTTTTGTTGAAAGGAAACATGGAAACTAAGTTTATTTCCTCAATTTTAGTCTATTTATCACATGAATTAAAACTATTTTCTTTTGCTCTCTTAAAGCCGATGAGACGGCACAACTTTTGCTTACAACCATCGCATGCAACCTATATATGTAAGTCATCCTTTTGCAGCATGGCTACAACTGTCGTAGTGTTATCAATAAATTGTTTTTATCTCTACGACAGTTGTAGCCATGCTGTAAAAGGATGTTTTACGCAGGGTTGCATGCGATGGTTGTAGACAAAAGTTATGCCGTCTAAATCGACCTTTACATAATAATGTGAAACAGAAGCCTCTCCCCCAGCATCTTTATTACAGGTTTGTAAAGAACATTTCTGTAAACAAAAACCACTTTTTTTATTAGGTTAATTTTAGGATATTGTTTTTTTAACCCATTTTTAGCTTCCAAGTTATTTGTTAGGGCCAGTACCTACTGTAATTCAATTTAGTCAGGATCACAATTGTAAACTTTTGTCAAAGGTACAAATAAAGAGTTATTGTTGTACTATCTAGGCCACGAAGCACCATGATTTTTTTTCTTCTATGGGAGATGAATCCTTGTGATCACAGATCGTACACCAATGATCAAAATACAAAATAAAATATATTTCACTTCAGGTAGAAAGAACATTTCAGTAAAAAAATCATTACCTATTTTATATTGTTTTTACAATAACAGCACCATGATTTTTTAAAAAAAAATTCCATTGAAGTTGATGTGGAAATATACTTTGTGATTACATATCGTACAGCAATTCTCAAAATATAAACTAAAATATATATTTCAATTCAGATAGGAAGATCGAGAATCTGTAAACATCCCATTGTCATTAGTCAACCCTCAGATTCGGGTTATGTGAACTAATTTGATTTATACATATATATTTACAATATTTTTTTTTATTTAACTGATGAATATTCAGTTGTTTGTATAATAAATCACTCAGTTAACCCTTTTCAGATTGGTCTTTTTCTTAAATCTTTGACTGTGGGACTCATTCGGCCCCCCTCAATATCTTCGGAACCAATACGTCTATGAGAATGAAATTTTTACACAATGGTCGCCCACGTAAAACGAACCACCACGACCGTTCTTGACCCGTGGGAACCAAATGTGACTTCATNTCTGCATCCGCAGTCACATTCAAGCGACCTGGCAGGTGTTCTGCTCGCAAGGTGATTTTGCGCGACAGACACCAGTCCCATAGCATGCGTGCATGACTGTCTAATACCCCTTTCTTTGCACCCCCCATTTTGTTCACATATGCTATTGCTGAGGTGTTGTCTATTTGAATCAAGACATGTATGTTGCACCGAGCTTTTGTGAAGGCTTTGATAGCATATGTCGCTGCTAGCAGCTCCTGACAGTTGATGTGGAGGGTTGACTCTCTTAGAGACCAGGTTCCCCGTGTCCTCGTTTCCTGACATACTGCCCCCCAACCCGACCCCGACGCATCTGATTGGATAACTAGGTCTGGAAGGAGAGGTTTCACGTATCTGCAGTTTGCCTTRGTTAGGTYGACTACCCACCACTGTAGGTCTAAAAGGGATTCTGAATCCAGTTTCCTTTTCTGGCTGAATGGGACACTTAGTAAGTCTAGACGGGTCTTTTGGTGTTGGAGAGCCCGATAATGGAGAGGGGCTTGAAAAACTGCAGCCTTGGCAGCTGTCATTTTTCCTATGATGTGTGACAGGTCCGCCTGTGAAGCTACAGCCGAACTTACCAGTGATTTGCACTCCTTGGTGAGGTTTGTGAGCTTGCTTGCTGGAAGGGAGAAAGACATACTTCTGGAGTTTATCAGAATGCCTAGGAACTCCATTTCYTGTGAAGGGACAAGAATAGATTTTTCGTAATTGATTACAAACCCCAGRTTTTCTAGCAGGTAAACCATTAGGGATGCATCGTTTTGAGCCCCTGTCTTTTGAGAGTTGAGGATTAACATGTCGTCTATGTACATGCATATCYTCAAACYCATCTTCCTCACATGGGCAGCAAGAGGCTTCAGAACCTTTGTGAAAACCCTTGGTGCTGAAGTGAGGCCAAAAGGAAGGCATTTGAACTGGTACGTGATATCTTTGTGTTGGAAACAAAGAAATTTCTGGTGAGCCTGATGAATTGGGACCGCAAAGTATGCGTCCTTCAGGTCTATTTTGCACATGTAGTCGAGAGACTGTAAGAGATCTCCCGCTACCTTTAGGTCCTCCATCTTGAAGTGACGGTGTACAATGAAATTGTTCAAGGTTGATAGGTTTATCACTGGGCGTTGACCCCCACCCTTCTTTTCCACAAGGAAAAGGTTGCTGTAGAAGAGTGYCCGTTGTGGACAAACTTGTTGAATGGCTTGCTTTGTCAGTAGACTGGCAATCTCGTCCTCTATTAGGGACAGTTGATCTGGATTTAGATAAGGGGG